GAGCAAATGGGATAAACGCTAGGTAGAAGAAGAAGAAGATGAAGACTCGTTATTTTTATAATTAACACGTTTCATAAATTTCCAGTCTCGTGAATCGTAAGAGGATGCTTACAAATGACTATTTTAATTTTTTGTGTCTAATGAAACGTTATCAGTATTATGAATCGTCTGAAATTAAGGATCAGCGCGAATTATTTCTCAGTTTGAATCACGCTTGACTTTCTTTTCATTAAGACTAGATGCGGACGCTTTGAAAAAGTGTTTGTATTTTCCCTTACCCACTCATTTTCTAATAGAGATTATATTTCCTGCATAAAATGAAATTAATGGCACATATAATTATTCACGACAAATGCTGCCAGAAATGTTTCATCTCGCCTAAGTTTAGATATCTGTGTACACGAACCTTCCATTGATAAAAAAGCTCGCAAATTATTCTGTAAAATTGTTATTTTCGAGTCTTCCGCAAAAAAATGTATATTTCCCAGCCTTATTCTTTTCACGGCTGTTTAAACGACGTTCGGCTTATAAAGCGGTTAAATGGATTGTTTTAAAGAAATAAATAGCTTTCTGTTTATGACGTCGGATTTTATCCAGCCAGCCCGCTAACAAATTCCATGGCAAATTAAAAGAATATAAAATAATGTTATTAAGGTCTCCAAAATTGTTTGTTATTGTTTTTAATTGCGTGTATTTCATGTTTTAAAGAAACAAATAATTAAATTTGTTTACGTATTAAACAGACTTTAATTTAAAGGATAATTGTGTAGTAATATTAGACAAACAGTTAAAACCAAATATTTGTGTTAGTAGTACGTATCATAAGCACGTAGAGTGGTTAAAAATTTTATAAATTAATGTAAATTTGAATATTATTGAATTTCTTATATAAGTTTCGAGTATATTTTACACGGCTGTAATTTTAAACAAGACATATATTCAAAATATATCTATCAGTTGTTTAAAATTATATACAAAAAAAAGCTTTTAATTTGCTAATTATTACAGTGAACATATAATATAGAAATAGACTAATAAATGTAGCTATAAAAGAGATAATTTTCAAAAAAGAAATAAATACATTCACTACAGAATATTAATTTATTCCTCTCTACACATTGAGGGCTTTACAAGTGCTACTATAATATAAAAATAAAATAAGTTAAATTTAGTTTTAAAATAACATCAGAAGTCAGAACTAAATATAGGGTAGAGTGTGTCAGTTGCTGAGCCACCGATTTCAAAAATAAAGATTTAAAAGATTTTATGTGAACATTTAGCAGACCTGCCTTAATTTTTTTACAGGGATAGTTAGACACGAATAAACGTTTTGATATCCAGAAACAAGATGCTTCTTCTTTACTTATTGTAACTTTTCTTTATTTATTATATTGTATATATTTTTTTTGTATTCGACACAAAATATTAACGAATATATTTTTTATTTAATATTTTTTTCGCTTATCAATTTTAAATTACGGTTGATTGACCTGATTGAACTGAAATCATCATACCCAGCACCACCATTACCAGCCCAACAAGTCCCAACACAACCATACTAGGAGCGACATGAACGGCACGACAGAATTAGACGCGTGTTTCGTCTCTACACCAGGCATCCTCAGGCGGAGTAGACTGCGGTGGCTGACCGCTAAAAACTTTTTTACAATATGTTGGTGTTGAACACTGCGGAGTTTTTGGGAAATTTTATCGAAAGTAGACAGATGCTGACGGTAGTATATCAAGGCGTTGGTGCCATACTTGTTTCAACAACCTTCTTTTTATTTGCCCGTAAGTTTACTGCTAGACATAGACTTCTCCCGTTGTAAGAAGGATTTGCCTTAATCCATAATAAATTGTGTACGTGGTAGAGCCATGCTGCAGCTATGTTAGTAGTGTAGTCATCGGCTCGACCGGGGGAAGAACCACGCTCTCATAGAATACGAGCGTAAAATAGTAGCTTAACGGTGCTGTGTTTCGTATGGTGAGTGTAGAGAACCGGAGACCCTTTTTATTATATTAGTATTCCTTCTTAGTCGTCACGGGTGAAAAAGCATCTGCATTTTGTTTCGTGGTCGGGGATTGATGCAGATGTCTACGGGCCGCAGCAATACTTACCATCAGGTGGACTGTGTGCTTGTTTGTCACCCTTATCCTATATTTAAAAAAAAATCCGGCATTTCCCACAGTCGCTTCTTACAATGCTAACGGTACGGATATGGAGTGATGCCTTGCGGCGTGCACTTTCCGAAGAATTCACAGTTTCCTCATAAAGATACCATTCTAGATATTTTATATATAAAATAACAACACTTTTACGAATAATAATCTACTTCAAGCCTGTATATAAATGTATATTAGACAAGAGCAAAAGTCTGCTTGAGATTAAGCTCACATCAAATCTCCTAATTGATTATCTATTCTATTCTTTTCTATAGTAAGATTGTAGGAAAAATATTAAAAGGAAATTCTTACCCAGATAGTAAATTGCTTCTTTCCTTACTGCGTATTTTGCTAAAGGTATTCGGAGAGTGCAAATAAACTCCGCAGGTGAAGGAAGGTCAGCGTCGAGCAACGTAACCGAAGCTACCGCCGAGTATCTGCCGTTCACCAGTTTCAATTCGTGAGAAACTCCATCCAGCCTCCTTTCAATAAAACATATAGATGTTTTAATATGAATATAATATGCAGCATTATGTAGAGTGTGACAGTGCGATGAATATTTTTAATCTCAGTATGAACCGCCTATTGGTAAAAAAAATTAAATTAAAAAAAACTAACAAACTCAATCGATTTTACTGAAAACGTAATTATTTGATAAGATGAAAAAAAAACACACACACACCCGGACGATTTTTACAATAATATCTACCAAAATTTAATACTACAGAAATAAACTAAATTAATCATTCATATTACTCTCGGCTAAAGCTAGACTAGAGCAAAGCAATGACATGAAACTGAATCTATTTTCCTACCTTCCCCGATAGTCATACTTAACAGGCATTCAGGTAATTCTGGCATAGCGCCAGATTATTTTTGATGTATACATATGACATTAAATTAATGAATAAATGTTTGATCTTAAAATGCTTCTTTACAATGCAATAAAAAGCGAAATCAACTTGGGTAGATTGTGACAATTTGACATTATATTGCAATGCAACGTCGACGTTTAACTCGAGAAGAGCTATAGGAATTCTGCAGGCTGGTACTTTTCAACTGGCAGTAGGCACCAGGCAAAATGTGATTTCGAGATTGTGATCACACTATCATGCCACGGCGGTAGTGGTGGAGCCAGATAAGCCATTTTTTGCAAATTGCTGCGAGAAGGCAACAATATGTATAATAGGGCGAAGCAATTGTCCAAAGGCTGAACACCAGGTTTGTGAGTGATCAAATTGTGAGGAGGAGACTGCACGAAACCAACCTTCATGGTCGTAGACCATTAGGGTTCCAGCTCTACGTAGAGGAAATATTGGACGAAAACTGCAACGAAGAACATGTGAACTTGGAATCCCATCATTGGTCGTTGGTGCTTTTCACCGATGAATCCCGATTTAGTTTTCATCCTAATTGTACTCACACGTACTCTGAGGAAAGTTTCTGGTCGTACTGTCCGGCCTCAATACTCTAAAGAAGTTCATACATACCAATATGGTACAATTATATAGTGGTAAGAATTCGTTTTGGTGAAAGAACAGACTTCGTTTGGATACAGGACACTATCGTGGCTAAAAAATACTGTAATTAGGTGCTAGAACAAATAGTCTTGCCATATTGGACACGCTTGGGTCAAAATTCCCTCCTTATGCACGAAAATGTCGGTTCAGTCTGGATGTACAAACATGATGTGATGTCCCTAGAATGGCCAGCGTAATCTCTAGATTATATTCCATAGAAAATGCTTGGAATATGCTTCAAAGAAGAGCTCTGAGTGCTTTTCTTGAGATTATGGTTACAGAAGAACGACTTTTTATGCATCTCAGCAGGACCTGGGACAATATTCCTCCATAGGATATTAATTATCTTATTCTCAGTATGCCCAACCGATACAGATGCGGTATGGATGTAATGGGCGCTTTTACTGATTATTAATCTTAATGCAATAAATTACTTTACTTTTGTTTAGATTACATAGACACTTCACTTATGATTAGCTTAGTAACATAGATGCAAGACGTGTGACCCTGAGGGTGGCAATTAAGCTAAATCTACAAATAATCAACGGGAGAGGCCCATGACCAGCAGAAAACTTTTTACGGGCCGATGTTGATGATGATGATGACGAGTACTAATATTTCATTATTCATTTATCATCACAGCCTGTCAAAGCTAAATTAATGAAGACCACTGCTGAACGTAGGAATCCCCAAATAATGCCTGAAAATACCTTTTTTGCGGTATTATTAACAAATTTCAACACTAATAACAGGCAACCAAAACATGAAACAAGTAATAGCATAGCAGTATTCTTTTTTTTTAAATATTTTGTTATCGAAAATGTGAAGGATTTTTAATTTCATTCTGAAAAGCATTGCTGAAAATGGGGACTGTCCACTTTTAGTTCATATATGTGTGCTATAACTCGCACCTTCTTAGTTGCGAGAATTAAGTACTAACATAGATATTGAGCTTCTATTGTATCTACTTTGGATCTTTGTTTGACCAATAAAGATTTTTTATTATTTTTCTATTTTTTATTTATTAACAGTTTTGTTTCCGAATTTATTATACCAGTTGAGGTACAAGATCGAGTAGAGGTCTGATTGTACAGTCTAGCAGCGCGATCTCCTATTCGTATGACAAGTGCGGCATTTGTGCCAAATATTCCCTATAGTAAAATAGACTATGTACAGCATTACCGAGCTGCTAGCGATGTTGTGTTATTTGAAAAAAAATGTTATTCCGTATTTTTTTCGCTTGCGTTTTGGACTTGAAACCGCATTTGAATCTGTGTAGTTGCTACTTACGTAATCAACGCAATAAAGTAAGTAATTTCAAGCAAGCATGAGTCTAGCGATGTAGGCCGATTGGTTAGCAATAAGGTGCAGTTGCCTTGTTATAGCCAAGTTTGTAGCCAACTGCTGTTTAGAGCACACGTCTTCGATTTTATACGACCTAGACACGTTAAAACTAATTAGTTGCATACGTTTACATTACAATCATAACTGTTATTGTAATTTTGTTTCTATTTTGATAAAAATACTTTTAGAACTACCAAACCAAGCCAAGATGGTGTTGTGATGTTCAAACTACACTACAATAGAATAAAACGTTAGTAACGTACCTCTCAGGTGTGGCTAGCGTGAGGTTTGGTGCAGGAAACGCTCCGTCTGCAGCACATATGACGTTCACAGTATCATCGTCAGTATTGTTCTGGATCAGGCGGAAGTTCGTCTCCGGAACTGAAACATGACACTTGTAAGAATATTTTGTAACATGGCACGTGAAGTTTAATGAACTGTAAGAAATAAGCGCGTGCTAAGATGGCGAACTTCTCTCGCGTAATATAAAGTGTCTCGAAGCATTTTTTTATCATTTTTGATGGCAATTAATTTTAGTCTACAGTTTCTGTTCACTTTTATCACATTAGCTGACTTTTAAGATCACTGATAGACATTTTTCCTTTCAAAAAATGCACCAGCTGGCGAAATTACATAATAGTTTTCGATTCTTACAATTGTTATTCAATATTTTTTTAGAATAAGGGTGACAAGTGGGCAAATAGCCCACCTGATGGTAAGCGGACGCTGTGGCCCATAGACATCTAAATCAAACCCTGAATAATATTCAGAATACAGATGCGTTATCACCCCTGAGGACTAAGATGGAATGCCTCGTATTCAGTAAAAAAGGCAGCAGCATTGTGCTGCTATTTTATGCTGGTATTCCGCGATTTTTCTCTGGTCATGCGACCCATTACATGCTTCAAGTATAATATAGATACAGCGTGACTCTACCAAGTATATATAAGACTAGTGCCTTGTAGTGGTGGCGTATTAAAGTTAATCATTATCCCATATAATCTCATGTCTGTCTTTCAAAGCGACAGACGAAAAAAAAAACAGGAGATGTGCAACTGTACCTTCCAAGTAAGAAGTGAAATCAATTACAAACCGCGTCCTTGAGGGTCCCGGGTTTGAACCCCGCACGAAACAAGTGTTTGTACTGCTTACAATTAATTGGTTCTGGATGTTTGTTTGTCCTTGTGTAATTTATGTGTGTAAGCAGCCTCCAAATAAAATTCCAGTCTAGATGTTTGTTCTTGAGCAATTGATGTTCGTATGTAAATTGCCTCCACGATACAGAAGAAAATCCTAGTGTACCTAACAATATAAACTAAAAAGATGTGAACTATCTTTTAAGTAAAGCAAAATGCATCAGCCAGCACCATTTTTATAAATATCCGCCTGTGATTTAACTTAACGTCTATTTCATATTCAGTGAATTTATTTTTCTGTTATTCCAGACTACTTATTATATATATTGTGAAGAAAAAGTAGCTACAACCTAATACGTCCCTCAGCAATTAAAGTGTCACGCTGCACCAGTCCATCTGTATTTTATTTAAGATTAACAAGAAGGGTAACTTGGCTAACCTAACCTAACCTACTTGATGAACAACAAAGTTTCATTTGTATATATTTGAAATAGAATGTTTATATAATAAAGTAAAATAAATATACAAATAACATCTACAATGGTAGACACTGAAAATGTATGGGTTAGAGAGACGCCTTATGTTACGGCTTGTTTATCTGTTTCGTACTCTAAATCTGCTGCTTCTGTTAAGCATTTCAAGAAAAACTTTAAGCTTTACTTGAATGATTTAAAAATATAGTGTTTGCGAAATTCCACTCACTATTTGTAACAATGCTCCCGCGTGATTTAGACTTAAAAATCTACTTTTTAAAAATATTCCAAAGAAATATTATTCCAAATCTTTTCTTTAGTGGACAACTTTTGAAAGTATTCAGAAGTTGTCATCCATCCATTTAAAGCATGAACGTCCACTGCTGAACATACACCCTCCCCATAGATTGCCAGAAGATTTTGCAATATTCGCCACGCTTATCAGACAAGTGGGCTAGGCTAGTCGGCCACTATATTTTTAATTTTTTTATTATTTATAATTTTTATTAGGACACTGCTGCCAATCTTCTATTTTCCCCCTCTCCCCACGGAACAGTATGGGGTAGTTAATATTCTTATACCGCTTCTACATGTTTTTTTTTTCAGAATTATTCCTCTTTATCAGGCCGTAAAGTCCACATGGAAGGGCCATTGTAGCACGGGTTGCCCTACTGCGGTCTTCATTCTAAGGACTTTACGTGTGAGGTAAGCGAAAAATTAATATAATAAAAAAAAATAATAATAAAAAAGCGAAAAAAACATTATTGAATTTCTCATGGCCTTTTACCAACAAAAGGAAATGGGATAATCAATTCTCTTACACCACCACCACGCGGGATCTTCGTTTAAAACAGCTGTATAGGGGTGATCTTAGTTATTTATGCCGCCAACCATCGCGCGGACAGCTCCTCTGAACGGCACACAGAGCCAGTACATTACAGTCTGTGCGGAACTTCATCTTCGTCCTCAAAGGTGACAACGCATTTGTAGCCTCCTTTGTATGAAATTGGTCGCGGATATCGTTGACATGACATGAAAACGTTTAATTGTTATTATGCATTGAACAGTACAATAGGTCACAGTTTAATGGCCAAATATTCAAAAGCTACTCAATTTTAATATGTTGCGAAGTCTAGTGGTGTTACCGTCACTTTCTCAAATTGAGCAGCATGTATTTGGGCATAAAACCCCGTAATCTTAGAACATATATTTGAAAACAATTTGTAAAACCCAATCTCATAGACCATTACGGACAAAGGACATAAATGTATATTTTACAAAAGATTTTTGAATTATTTTTTTGTGAAGACGGGTATTAAAACAAAGAACTTTTTAAAAATAAATTGGAATTGCAGTTAGAAACATTCAACGAAAGAAATTGTAAATAATTATAAATTTTAATTAGATAATCCATTTTTCTATTACATCCTAATATTAATCAACCTATTAAGGTTCACTAACCACTCAACAGTCAAAATGTCCATCTCGACTATGTGTCAAATATTTATTGTCAGTAACTGTCATCCATTACGGCGATTCAATTACCGCCATTTTCCGCCATTTTGTTTTATACATACTTGAATTACTATTATACTTTGCTTTGAGCAATAATATTATAACAATATATAAATGTAGGTGTGAAAAACATGTTTATTAGATTTTATTGTATATTATATCCACACATTTAAGAAAACACGAAATTAAATAAATTATTTCTCTCGGGCAGTAACTACAAGCCGCAATGGTTGTAACATATAAGAAATGACGCCATTTAGAAAGATACTGTTGAGGGGCCTCCCCTTGGACTGTATCTTTAGGAGGATATTTGGCATAGTCTTGGCAAGCGGTTTGGCAAACATCATTTATTTTAATTTTATATCAGGTACGCTGCTGCCCATTTACAGCCTAGCTATAGCAGATAAGATATTATTACACGTAAACAGTTAATAAAACAAATAAAAGAATGTGATAAAACCATGATTAAAATTTCATTAAAGGACAGTTAAAGAAAAACAGTCATCTCACGGTAGATCACAAGCACCAGTATTGGCGGCTCCTAGTTAAAGCGACCTATGTCGCCCCAGTGCCCATTGGTGCAATTCAAAAATACTTTGTATTACAAGCCGTGCCAATTGTCGCATGACATTTTTTTGTTTGTTAGAAAGTGGTAAAGCGTAGCGTTTCAATTTGCAATCCCATTGTTCCAATGATCGAATATAAGTGGTAGAGCCACGCTACAGTAACGTTATGATTGTAGCACGAATGGGTCAGCTCTACTGGGGTAGAACCACTCTCTCACGGAATACAAGTTTTTACTGTAAAACGAGGCATTCCGTCTTAGTCCTCAGAAGTGACTAAGACGGAATGCCTCGCGGCTGTTATTGAGCAATTTTATACATATTAAATGGTCACAAAAAAATTATCGCATATTTTTAAAAACATTAAAAAGAAACAATATCGATTGTGTATTCTTAAACGTAAAGAACTGTTTAATTTTTCTACTTTTTGTTTAATTTTTGTTAAATAAATAAATCCTTTGCTAGTTTTTAAAAGGTTTTATTTGAAAATTGTAACTTTATTTTCTCAATGTGCTTCATTTCGAATCTCCGAATAAATTAAACCTACTAATACAAGAGCAATCGGTTTTAAACTTCGAACAAAAGCTGTAACCGTTTCGTAGCTAGATGGAATTTGGGTGAACGAACAGGATATTATTCTATATATAATTCAAAGGCGGACAATTTGCTAAATAGCACAACAAACACTTCAGCAAAATCGGGCCTAATATACGATATCGCTAAACCCTTCTCAAGAAATGTATTATTGGATAACTTCGGGTAACCATTAAATGAAATTTGACTTGGATTTTCACTGATTAAATTCCAGTAGCTTAAGTTCATGTAGTAACCGCGGTTATCTATGACATCTGGACGTTGAACATCTCAGTCCGCCCCCGTGACCATGGATGTGACCACGGAACTCGTATACAAAAATAACTTTTTTGACGTCTCAGATTTTGTGCCTCAAAGTCGCGCTTAAGCACTTTTTTATTCCCAGAAAGATATACAGAGGCTACCGTGATCGGTTGATCACCGGTCATGGCCACTTTGCAAGCGGAAGCCTCTAGATCTGTCAACTGAGATGTTCAATGGGGACGACGTTTAGTGATGACATAATATATAAGTTATATCATTTAAAATGAAGATTACATAAGCATTAACTTAAAATGTGATTTAAAAAAAATATATAATAAGAAAATATTTTGGTGTATACTTTATAAAGTAGATTTTTTTAGATTTGAAGTCGCTTAATAGAGAATTTGCTATCCGCTATGCATCTCCTTTTACACTTAAGGCATACGTAAGGCAGTCCGAGGAAATTAAGCAGGCCAGCTTATCTTTACGGATGACGTGTCGAATCAAGATTGTGTTTAAATTAGGATCAATATGAATGTGCCCAGTATATTTTTCTATTAAGGGAATGAATAAAAAAGAGGACTAAAATATAATATTTTCAGCAACTCGGATTCGATCTCTGCGGGAGACAATCAAATTAATATTTGCAATTTTAAGCGCTGATTTACTCCTTCTCTGCGGTGAAAGAAATAATATATTTCGAAGATCTTTAAAGTTCTGATTCAGCAGTGACTATTGTTAGGCATTTTCGATTTAATCATGTAAAATACTCAGACTCGTTGATAAAGAACAACTTCATAAGAACGCTTTGTTCTAATAATGATTTGTTATGTTTACACGAACACAAAGTACATTTAAATAAAATTAGATTTTACGGATTTCATCGCGTATATTAAATTATTTTATATTTTCAAAGTTTCGAGTATTTAACAACACCCATGGTAGTTGAATGATCTGTATGAACTCCCCCCAATGATCATGGGTGATGTAATGTACTCGAAACATCGATAATATAAATTAGTTAATAAAATCGGTAAAAATCTAGTTTTAGTTAAATGTGCAGTGTTCGCGTGAAATCATTAAGTTCAATAGTTAGAGTCTAAGTTTCATCACAAATAGCTATATCATCTGTTGTTTAAATATGTGACATATTTTGACGAGCTTTAAAAATAACTTACCAAAAACGATCATTTGCTTAGTTCTTGAATCCTCTTCCATGAATGTTGAAACGACACACGTGTAATCACCAGAGATGTCGGTGTCGGGCTTCACTATGCGGAGTGCTCTGTACATTTTTAATGGATCGCTTGATGCTCTGTAGGCTAAGTCAACACGACCTCTCAATATCCCCATGTCCTGTGGCTTTTGCGACACGATCCATTGGTAGACAGGTCTAGCTTTGTTTCTGAAAAACCACTTCACTACCAGTCCCGATGTGTTGTTATTGTAAGTATAGTCACAGTCTAGAATCACAGCGTCTTGCACACCGTACTGTATTATTTCTGGCACTACTATTTTCACTATTTTAACTGCATTCAATTCTGAAACAAAGAAACAAATTTGAATGTAATTTTCTTACTAATATGATAAGTAATAAAAATACGTTTGACTTGATGTTGTGGTTTCAGCCAAAATACTTTCGATCTATGAAGATCCGAAATATTTTGGTTGCTAGTAGCATATTGCAAACGATTTACATATAAAGTTATTGAAGTTGCTTTTTTAAATCTGATCTTTACAGAACATTTTTTATGAAACTGAAGTAACAAACAAACTTACAGTCCACCTCAGTATAAGTGACTAGCTAGGCTGCTTTAGCCAGCCTTACTAGTCACGGGTCTCCAAAGTTTGAAGCCTTAGGGCCATAATGATTTTTTTAATACGTTCTAAGGTCCAAAATAGTTTTAATTTTTCTGTCCTTAACTATATTTCTAGAATAGTCGTGAAGTGCGCGACCTAAGCGAACATACGCTTTTTTTAATTTGCAATACGAGCGAGTAGTGATACTATGTACTGTCAGTTGACATTAGTTGTGATTAAATATTTCGGAATTTACGCGTTGGTTCGAGAAAGTACTGGTTCTGGCTAGAGTATTCCGATCACTTCGAGATGGCAGTAATTGCATATAAAAAAGCGACCGCTCCAATCCGTCTAACTACAGGCCTATCGCAATCACCTCCTTGCTCTCCAAAATAATGGAAACCATTATAAACTCGCCAGCTCATGCGGTACCTTGAGTATCACCAGCTGACTAATGACCCCCAACACCGTTTTTGTCAGGGTCGATCAGTTGGTGGCCTTCTGGTCTACCAGATTCATAGATGGGCGGAAGTAGTAGAGTCCAAGTAGAAAGCATTGACTGTAAGTTTGGACATTGTGAAGGCCTGCCATCGGGTTTGGCACAAAGGGCGTCTTTCAAAGCTACCTTCCTAAGGGCTTCCCGAGAAATTTGCAATTGGCTCACAAACTTTCTTGTAGATCGAAACAGCTAGGTTGATGCATATGGTGAATGCTCCGATAGCAAGCTTATTAATGCGGGTGCTCTACAAGGCTGCGTGCTATCACCAACATTGTTCCTTCTGCATATCAATGATATGTTGCAAGCCGGTAGCATTAATTGCTATGCGGATGACAATACGGGTGATCTTTTATACACCGGCCGTGCCAATATTTCCCTTGGGAAAACATTTTACATATACATAAAGTGTTATGATGATCGACTTAGCCATTCGGAAGATGAGCCTGGACAGACAGACAAACATTTTAAAAATGCTTATGTATTTCTGAAAAGCATACAAATAACTCCCTGACCTTAATGGAAGCCAGTTTTTATTGATATGTATAAATTCACTATGCACTGTTTAATCTAAATATTAAGAAGTTTCGCTTAATGATGAGGAAGGGGTGGATATCGACAAATTCCTACAGGGTACTGTGTTGGACATATTTTATTATAAAACTGAAGTGACAAACGAAGTTAGAGTCCATTCGATAGTAAGTGGCTACTGCAGCCGACTTCAACAAAATATAAAATATATTTTATTATAAAACTGAAGTGACAAACGAAGTTAGAGTCCATTCGATAGTAAGTGGCTACTGCAGCCGACTTCAACAAAATATAAAATATATTTTATTATAAAACTGAAGTGACAAACGAAGTTAGAGTCCATTCGATAGTAAGTGGCTACTGCAGCCGACTTCAACAAAATATAAAATATATTTTATTATAAAACTGAAGTGACAAACGAAGTTAGAGTCCATTCGATAGTAAGTGGCTACTGCGGCCAACATCAACAAAATATAAAATATATTTTATTATAAAACTGAAGTGACAAACGAAGTTAGAGTCCATTCGATAGTAAGTGGCTACTGCAGCCGACTTCAACAAAATATAAAATATATTTTATTATAAAACTGAAGTGACAAACGAAGTTAGATCCATTCGATAGTAAGTGGCTACTGCGGCCAACTTCAACAAAATATAAAATATATTTTATTATAAAACTGAAGTGACAAACGAAGTTAGAGTCCATTCGATAGTAAGTGGCTACTGCAGCCGACTTCAACAAAATATAAAATATATTTTATTATAAAACTGAAGTGACAAACGAAGTTAGAGTCCATTCGATAGTAAGTGGCTACTGCAGCCGACTTCAACAAAATATAAAATATATTTTATTATAAAACTGAAGTGACAAACGAAGTTAGAGTCCATTCGATAGTAAGTGGCTACTGCAGCCGACTTCAACAAAATATAAAATATATTTTATTATAAAACTGAAGTGACAAACGAAGTTAGATCCATTCGATAGTAAGTGGCTACTGCAGCCGACTTCAACAAAATATAAAATATATTTTATTATAAAACTGAAGTGACAAACGAAGTTAGATCCATTCGATAGTAAGTGGCTACTGCGGCCAACTTCAACAAAATATAAAATATATTTTATTATAAAACTGAAGTGACAAACGAAGTTAGAGTCCATTCGATAGTAAGTGGCTACTGCAGCCGACTTCAACAAAATATAAAATATATTTTATTATAAAACTGAAGTGACAAACGAAGTTAGATCCATTCGATAGTAAGTGGCTACTGCGGCCAACTTCAACAAAATATAAAATATATTTTATTATAAAACTGAAGTGACAAACGAAGTTAGAGTCCATTCGATAGTAAGTGGCTACTGCAGCCGACTTCAACAAAATATAAAATATATTTTATTATAAAACTGAAGTGACAAACGAAGTTAGAGTCCATTCGATAGTAAGTGGCTACTGCGGCCAACATCAACAAAATATAAAATATATTTTATTATAAAACTGAAGTGACAAACGAAGTTAGAGTCCATTCGATAGTAAGTGGCTACTGCGGCCAACATCAACAAAATATAAAATATATTTTATTATAAAACTGAAGTGACAAACGAAGTTAGAGTCCATTCGATAGTAAGTGGCTACTGCAGCCGACTTCAACAAAATATAAAATATATTTTATTATAAAACTGAAGTGACAAACGAAGTTAGAGTCCATTCGATAGTAAGTGGCTACTGCGGCCAACTTCAACAAAATATAAAATATATTTTATTATAAAACTGAAGTGACAAACGAAGTTAGAGTCCATTCGATAGTAAGTGGCTACTGCAGCCGACTTCAACAAAATATAAAATATATTTTATTATAAAACTGAAGTGACAAACGAAGTTAGATCCATTCGATAGTAAGTGGCTACTGCGGCCAACTTCAACAAAATATAAAATATATTTTATTATAAAACTGAAGTGACAAACGAAGTTAGAGTCCATTCGATAGTAAGTGGCTACTGCAGCCGACTTCAACAAAATATAAAATATATTTTATTATAAAACTGAAGTGACAAACGAAGTTAGAGTCCATTCGATAGTAAGTGGCTACTGCGGCCAACTTCAACAAAATATAAAATATATTTTATTATAAAACTGAAGTGACAAACGAAGTTAGAGTCCATTCGATAGTAAGTGGCTACTGCAGCCGACTTCAACAAAATATAAAATATATTTTATTATAAAACTGAAGTGACAAACGAAGTTAGATCCATTCGATAGTAAGTGGCTACTGCAGCCGACTTCAACAAAATATAAAATATATTTTATTATAAAACTGAAGTGACAAACGAAGTTAGAGTCCATTCGATAGTAAGTGGCTACTGCAGCCGACTTCAACAAAATATAAAATATATTTTATTATAAAACTGAAGTGACAAACGAAGTTAGATCCATTCGATAGTAAGTGGCTACTGCAGCCGACTTCAACAAAATATAAAATATATTTTATTATAAAACTGAAGTGACAAACGAAGTTAGATCCATTCGATAGTAAGTGGCTACTGCAGCCGACTTCAACAAAATATAAAATATATTTTATTATAAAACTGAAGTGACAAACGAAGTTAGATCCATTCGATAGTAAGTGGCTACTGCAGCCGACTTCAACAAAATATAAAATATATTTTATTATAAAACTGAAGTGACAAACGAAGTTAGAGTCCATTCGATAGTAAGTGGCTACTGCAGCCGACTTCAACAAAATATAAAATATATTTTATTATAAAACTGAAGTGACAAACGAAGTTAGATCCATTCGATAGTAAGTGGCTACTGCAGCCGACTTCAACAAAATATAAAATATATTTTATTATAAAACTGAAGTGACAAACGAAGTTAGAGTCCATTCGATAGTAAGTGGCTACTGCAGCCGACTTCAACAAAATATAAAATATATTTTATTATAAAACTGAAGTGACAAACGAAGTTAGATCCATTCGATAGTAAGTGGCTACTGCAGCCGACTTCAACAAAATATAAAATATATTTTATTATAAAACTGAAGTGACAAACGAAGTTAGAGTCCATTCGATAGTAAGTGGCTACTGCAGCCGACTTCAACAAAATATAAAATATATTTTATTATAAAACTGAAGTGACAAACGAAGTTAGATCCATTCGATAGTAAGTGGCTACTGCAGCCGACTTCAACAAAATATAAAATATATTTTATTATAAAACTGAAGTGACAAACGAAGTTAGATCCATTCGATAGTAAGTGGCTACTGCAGCCGACTTCAACAAAATATAAAATATATTTTATTATAAAACTGAAGTGACAAACGAAGTTAGAGTCCATTCGATAGTAAGTGGCTACTGCAGCCGACTTCAACAAAATATAAAATATATTTTATTATAAAACTGAAGTGACAAACGAAGTTAGATCCATTCGATAGTAAGTGGCTACTGCAGCCGACTTCAACAAAATATAAAATATATTTTATTATAAAACTGAAGTGACAAACGAAGTTAGATCCATTCGATAGTAAGTGGCTACTGCAGCCGACTTCAACAAAATATAAAATATATTTTATTATAAAACTGAAGTGACAAACGAAGTTAGAGTCCATTCGATAGTAAGTGGCTACTGCAGCCGACTTCAACAAAATATAAAATATATTTTATTATAAAACTGAAGTGACAAACGAAGTTAGATCCATTCGATAGTAAGTGGCTACTG